TTTTCGCAAAATTATAGCACTTCGAGTTAACCCTTGCACAATCTCATATGGCAGTCATCTGCAAAGGGGTGGTTTTTTGTATGGTTCCATTTAAATGATTACAACGATAATGGTGTGTCGAATTTAAAGTCGTGGAAGACCATCTTAAAGTAGAGATTTCAAGCTTTAATTTGAAACTAAGATCATTATCCCACGATAATTTTTCCCGGAGTTATCGTTGATCAAAGTTGGCCAAATTATATCCACAATTTTTCTATGCTATAATTTTTTTGAGCAGCATAGAGAGAGAGAGGGGGGGGGGGAAGCGAGAAGAAGGCAGATAGACAGAGTGAGGGAGGGAGGGAGAGAGAGAGAAAGGGAAAGCGACAAGAAAGCAGACAGACAGAGAGAGGGAGAGAGAGAGAGCAAGGAAGAGGGAAAGGAAGACAGACGGCGAGAAGGAGAGAGGGAGGAAGAGAGAGAAAGAAGGGGGAGGTTTTCTGAAGCGACCCGGCCAAATGATTCGACCGAATAATTTCAAGGTATATTGACGATCGTCCGACCGGGAACGAACTTGTTTATCCATATCGTGGACGAATTGAAAATGATAGAAAGGAAAGGAAAGGAATGGGAATGGAGAGGAGGGACGCCGGCTATCTTCGAGGATTAAGTCTGTCGGTCTCGGACCCGGGATATGACGCAAAGGAAAATATTGGCGGCGAGGAAGCCTGTATACGTCAACAAAAGCGGCAGCAGACTGCCGATCGACTTTCAGAGCTGTTTCCGTGTAAGCTTCGCGAAGGCCCCTTTGGGACGCCGAGTGCACTCGAACGTCCATCTCGCTTTCGATTTATTCTATCTCGAAACGTATATAGCAACCGAGCAACCCTGTGTGCACCTCTTTTTCTAGCGAACCACGTTACACAGTGATATAGAAACCCGCTTCGGCTGCCCAAAAATCGACTTTCCAAGTCTAATTCGTCGAAAAACTGTTTCTTTGTTTTTCCTATATAAATCGCTATAACAACCCCTCAAAGCACCTGAATCCAGAATATTATTCATTCGAGTTCCGAAAAAAAGGTCTTTAATAAATAAGTTGAATCATTAATTTCAACGAGTTCACCAGTTATTCACTTTCCTGCAAATCCCAAAAATTTCCCATGAATTTCCCGATAAATATTCTGTTTGCAAAAGGTGCAGGTCGACTAGATTTTTTTAAATATACGCATTCGACTTCGTTCCGATTTCGTTAGCCGACGCGACGATTTCTTCGATCTGTCGCAACATAACCTGAAACCTTGAGATCACGCTGAAATGATTTTCGCCATAGAGAAAGTGACTTTTCCCAGATCACTGTGGCGCCGGCTAGCAGCTTGCTCGCTCACTCGCAAGAGCACGCCGAGTTGCCGAATGCGACGTATTAACATAACATTATCATGGAAATTTTCGTCCCTTTGGTGGCCACCGGTTTCGCCTTGATAATATGGCTGCACTCTCCGCCGCTTTGCCGGCCGCAATTTCGTTAACAACGATCAGCTCTTTACTCGGGACGGGTAATCGAACCGCGATCAAAGGAGACCAGTAATCGATCTACCGAAATGACCATCGTAATCGTACAGGGTAACGTGATGCCTCCAGAAATATAATAATTACACGTACACATACCACTCCCTTTCGAAAGCCATGGGAGATTCGCGTCGAGACGCTCGTAATTACCGGTGAAAACTGGAACCGACAGACTACCCGGTGTCCGATTAAAAGTGCAACCAATAATCTCATTGTTTTGCTCATTCAGGTTCACCTTGATTGGTAGCGTCACGCGACATTTAAAAACTTGATTTTTATTGTTACTGGTTACATTGAACCAAGTATGTAACTTGAGTTGTTTTTTAGATGATAGAAGAACTAGTCTACTATTGCCACTTTGAAGACAATTTTTTAGCCATTGTCCAGTAGACTAGTCCTTCTATCGTTCAACAAAAATTTAAACTAAAAATTTAAAGCAAATATTGAAAATATTATTCCGTTTTAAAAAGTGTCCGAATACTCTTCTAATAAAATTTACACAGTTTAAGACTAAGATACTTAAGATAATTTGGTGTGCTCTTGGAATACGCCGGCATGGCTGTGAAGAGGTTATGGTCTAGGTTATGACTGCGTTCGACAGCGCAAATCAGCTCGTCGTTTAAAAATCAATGCATCGATTCTTGCGATCTACATGTTCGCGATTCCAAGGGTCTCGGTGTTTAGTTTTACGCTGGGTTTCGTATTACCAAAATTTCCAACGATCGTCGAGCTTCGGTATCTCATTAGTTCCCGGGACTTTCATAAACGGCGGTGCGTATTAATTCTCCACCCATTGTCTCGTCGATTCCCGGCACGTTATCGACCGCGTCCAAGTGGAAGAAACGAGAGTGTAAACAGATAGCGTCGCGGGAAACAGGAACCGCCGGGCAGGAAAGCGACCGTGAACGGGTCGCGATTTCCATGGCCGTGGGGTCAACAACGCGAGCACAGCATGCAGTGAGTAATCGTAGAGATAGCTCGGCGGAAAATTTGGAGGAATATCCCCGGCTTCGTCAGTACCGATACAAAAGAAAATCAAGCGTTTGCATCTCGTAGACGATCGAGGAACGATGGTAGCAACAACGCGGCAAGCGGCGAGAGGAGAGGTCGAATCCTCCTGCCGTCGGCGTTCCGCAACATTTTTCCGGGGAAAATCGGGTTCGGACTGTTCCGAGGAACGCCTATCGTGGTTCATCATCGAGGGCGAATGTTGCAAGTCCACCTGGAGCATCACGAGGATTAATAGCCGAGCAGAAGAAACGCGCGTTACACGGTTAAACAGCATGTCGGGGAGAGCTCGGTAATTGCGCCGGCGATTTACTTGCAAATCTCGCCGGTACTCTCTCGTTTTTCCCCCTTTCGACGGAGCAATTTCATCAGCCGATTTATGCCCGGCCATTTCGGCAACTCGTGAAGGACGCTGCGAAATGCCATGAATCAATTCGAAAGCAGTCTGTCCCTGCGGAACCGGTTATGGACTGACAACTCGTTACAGGGGGCATTCTAGTGTAAAATGCGTTTTCTTTGGGTAGGCATGTTTTTTTCACAAAGAAACTATGCAACTTCTTGGATCGGCGCGGTTTGGATTGTATTTGTTACTCTTTCGACGATGTTTAAAAATTTTTACAAGGAGAAATAACCAAAAATTAGAGAACCAAAAATTAGATTCTTAATTAAGATGCGTTTGGATAATTGCAATTGCATAATTCAAAAGATAGCAGCATTTTGAAGTTGAAGAAACAATGCTTTTGACTTCATTGTGGTGGATCTAGATTCTAAAATCTAGATCCGTTAGGGTCACTGTCCAGTAATTATGCTATAAAATGTAGCAAAGGGCGGATGTTGAGTCTACAGAACAACTGTTGACAGTGTTACTGTCATGTAAGCCCTAACTGGCGGCTCACGAGCGCACATGTAACTGTCTCCTACTTACGTGCTCAGTAGCGCGTTCACACTAGCTCACTACTCACCTTCAGACATCACTGATACGACACCATCGCTCGTGTAAATATCCATGTTACGTATAGCAAGATGCATGGAATAGTATAGTATTTACAGAATCCAAGTAGTGGAGAGAGAGAGGGACTGATAGTTCGAGCACGTGGCTCGCGGCTGAAAGACTACGATCGCGGGAATTTTGCTCGCAGATGGACACACGGCGGTCCAAAACTTTTGAGGGACGATTATTTCTAAGACACTAGGATTTAATAATAAACAAGACCAAAAGAATAGAGTGATTTTGATGGCACTATAGTAAATGCAATGCAAAATCTGGTTAAAAATCTTCATTACAAACGTTTTGAAGAATTGTTACAATTTTTCACTTAACTCTTTTTTACGAAATGTGGGCATTATCCCTTAAAAGAATGAAATGAAAAGAAATCAACTTTTTGTAGGTTCTAGACTATAATTTGCCCTCAAACCTAATCATCTTTTCCACTATCATCTCATTAAACGTTGGAAAACACATACAATTTTATTGGAGAAAATATAACCTTTCGCTCGTCAATTATGGGAAAAATATTTGAGATCGTCAAGTTTTCCGTGATCCATAGCACATTTTTTCCGAACTTTCAAGGAACTGTTCGTTAACAATGTAAATTAACGTATTTTATTCAAAGAAACTTAGATGTCTTGGGATGGGGGTCGAGCCCGAGCACACGGCCCGTGAGGCATCTTCCGGCCGCCAGTTGGAGTAACAGCCGCATACATAAACAGAATCCGCTGGAGCCGCGTGGTTCCCGCTGGCTTTCATTTGCTTTAGCGGTCTGGCTCGATCGATTTTTCGCGCTTAGCGGATATTCGACGATGCCGGGCCTCGCAACGGACCGATAAGCCCGCGGAGAGTCGCGCAAAATGCTGGAGATTCGGAGAACGCGTGTTCTTATCGCCCCGTAGCACGGCTCGTCGAGGTCGTCGTGCTTCCGAGGTTAAGTTCGACTGATACTCCCAGTGTCTTTCCACGCGAGCCGGTCTTTTATATTTCCAATCTAACATCGGAGCACGTCTCGGTTTCCCTCCTTCGAGTGTATGCCGTGGTCCGTAGCTGTGAAAATGTTATCGTTTCCGCGATTCCCCTATCGATCTGGTCGCGAGCGACTGCTCTCAATCCAGCAGACGCTACACCGGTATCAATGGCATGCATCCGGCAAAGTGCCCGACCAATTTGTACGTCTTCCTTGTTTTTTCCGCATGTCGAGCGGTCAAAGACTTCACAAGTTAATAGAACCTCTGCCCGTGCAGTCGTGTACACCTGTTTCATAAATATCTGGGCCTCGGTACGGGCCACCGAACAATTTCTAGGTCAACGTATGGAATAGTTGTATGACTAACAGTTCTACGTTCGATATTGTAGCAGTGCGACTTGTATCGTAGAGCCATTTGCCAAGCTATTGTGTGTAATCTAGAGATAATAGTATATACTCGAGACTTAAATTGCTCTTTGTTTGTTTCAGAAGTAAGCAAAGATGGCCTCTTTACGCTGCATTGGAATTTTTCTACTCATAGGTAAGTCACCGCTCTGAACTTTATACCTGTAATAATCGTTTGGTTTCTTCCTTCGATCCTGTATTTTAATGGAATCATTCATTTTTCAGTTGCGGGGCAGACATGGGCAGACTTTGTAGTTACAAAGCATGATCTAAAGGTTTATCAGAATAGCAACGATTCCTTCACATTGTTTCTAACGTAAGCATACATTATACAGTAGAATTCGTTAATACAACAGTTACAATATAAACTAAATACTTAATAGTAGATCTGCGTTAAAATGCAATTGCTAATGTATTTTGTTTCGCAGGAAACCTGTGGACAAGCTTGTATCGGTAAAACTAGATGTGCAACATTCCGATTTGGTCTCTGTTGACCCATCTAGTTTCAATACAGGCGATGGTAAAACAAATTGGACAATACAAGTAAAGGGTATCAACGCGGGACACTCGATTGTTAGCGCGAACGTAACGCCTAGCAATGTGTACGAGTAAGTGTACGAATGTAGCAGCTTGAGAACAGAAGAATTTGATTTTCGAAATTGGAAGGACAAATTTGGCTCTAGAAATTGGAAGACCAGAGTGAACAGCTCGAACAAAGTCTCTTGAATAAAGATTATGGTAAATTCGAAGTACCGCTTCCTCGCTCACTTCAATGAGCTTTAAATATGCCGTCAAGGTTACCATACTGAACGACAGTTTCTTTTCAACTTATCGGTGCTCGGCTTCGGTTTACGAGGTATTCGCAAAGAACTTAACCGTAACTGCGACGTCGTGTTCAGTTTAATATTAATCTTGATAGAAGCACAAGTCAGTAAACATTTCACCGAAGACCACGGATGTCTTTTACGGAATTTATACGTACAGCGAATACGGAAGAGCAATGCGTTGCTTTTCTTCTTGAAAAGATCTTTTAAAATTGTACGAAGTGTCCACCGATTTAAGAAGGTAATAACATTCAACCACCGGACATTGTTCGGTTGTTGTGTTGTTGTTTTCCGTTGTCACGCCACTTTGAGACAGAAATAGGTATTCGGAAATAAAAATAGCATTCCGTCGTCACTGTAAACGACATAAGCACAGAAATCCTGTTAAAAGTTATTAGGTAATGGATTTTGGCTGGGGCTATAATAATGTCCGATTGTTGGAAGGCGTACAACTGCCTTAACGAGGGCTATGCACACCTCGCCGTAAATCAGTTTTATAACTTCGTTCAACCCGACACTAGTCACTAATTTCGCTCAATACTTCCACATTTTCTTTAGAAAAAATATTCTATATTTCCTAATTGCAAGGATTGATTGGTTTTTTTATTTATAAAATCGTCAAATTTCTAAGCTTACTATCTAACATCTAAAATATAATCATATATCACTTGATACATTGCATTCTCTTCATAAAATACGGCCTTGACTTTCTTATTTTTTCCTCATTGTAATCGGTGCGTTAAGATAAAGACTTCCGTATATCTCGTAAACTAAACCCGTCCGGCAAAAACTGTGAATGGGAAATGATATTCACGACGGTAGCCTTGGTATCATAGATCTCAAGGTCATTGAAATCTGCAAGAAAGTAGCACATGGACGAGTTCGCCGAGATTCCAACATGTTGATTTGCGTGGGGTAAAGCAAACGAAGACAGAAATTCGAGACTATCAATTGATCCTATCTATCCCCCGTCCCTCCGCCGCGTTAAACGCTGTCGAACAATGGTTGTGTACATCAGTATTTACTTTCATGACTAACTTCCTAAAGATTTTAATCAGCGGTACATTCACTAGCATCCAGTGGAAATTATTTGCAGAGATAGCCTCCTGACCTGCACCGTTCATAGGATCTTAAACTTAAACTTCAGTCAGTCTGTGCTCAGATTTTGAGCGGTCTACTTCCTACTCCGGACAGAATGTGCCGCGTTGGTTGATAGTGACAAACGTGCGTGTACAAGAGTTCCGTTTTAATTCTGTTATCATTTTTTTTTTCTTTTATAAATGCAAGTGATCGTGTGATTCGTTGATCGGTGCAGTTGTTCCCGACCTTGTGCATTTCTCCGTTATTAGACTGTTCCGAAATAATCGAAATCTTTAATCGTGTTCATCGCAATCCGTAACGATAATGACACTGTACAAAATCATTTTGATTACCAAAGACCAATTGCACGATATCGACATAAAAAAGTAAGGGTAGAAACGAAACATTTGCCGACGAGCTTCATAGTAAATGCTGTTACGTGGCCTCCGTTCACGTTAAATAACTACTTTTTTTCTCCGACACTTTTGCAGTTTCTCGCAAGCGTTTGTCAGAGTAACTATAGAAAAATCGGACGCTCTTTACCAGATCAGTAACGTAGTGGGATGGATATACTTTTTAGCGTGGAGCGTCAGCTTCTATCCGCAAATATACAGTAACTACAAGCGCAAGAGCGTCGTAGGCTTAAATTTCGATTATTTATCGTTGAACGCAGTCGGTTTCCTTCTGTACGCACTGTTCAACTGCGGCCTGTTTTGGATACCGGAGATCGAGGTATGTAACAGATTTTTTCTTATTCGAACGCCCCCGAACAACTCAGGTGTGACACACAATAAACTGAACGCCCGCATTTTTCAGCTTGAATATTTCAGGCGGAACCCGAAGGGTTTGAACCCTGTACAAGTGAACGATATTTTCTTCTCCTTGCATGCACTATTCGCCACTGTGGTAACTATCGCTCAGTGCGTTGTATACGAGGTAAACGATCAGATTGTTGTTACTCGAATTTGGGCCCTTGCTGTCCGGGCATCCTTGGATATCTGAATTTAATACCTATTCATTCTTCATTCTAATGCCCTCAGCACTCGAACATCTGAATTTGAATCTGAACATTCACTCTCATACTCTGATTTAAATCGATAGCCAAGTACACAAATCTAAATTGGTACCCACGTATTCAAATATCTAAATTTAAATCTGAACATTCATGCCAATACTTTGATTTAAATTGATATCCAAGTACACGAATCTAAACTGGTATCCAAGTACTCAAATATCTGAATTTAAATCTGAAGATTCATTCTAATACTTCGATTTAAATTGATATCCAAGTACATAAATCTAAATTTGAATTCAAGTACTCAAATATCTGAATTTAAATCTGAAGATTCAATCTCACACTCTAATCAAAATTGATATCCAAATACACAAATCTAAATTAGTATCCAAGTACTCAAATATCTCAATTTAAATCTGAAGATTCATTTTCATACTCTGGTTTAAA